TGTTCTGGCAGGAATGATTTGGGCACATATCTGTCCAGCTGCTCTCGGTGCTTTTTGACCTCGTGGATCTTTAAGCCTTGCTCTGAGTTAGAGCTGAAGGAGCATAACCGGCATTTGTGAGTCGGTTCTTCTGCCGTTGCTTTCGACGCAGTCAGCAGTGCATCATATTCATGCAGCACCATTTCAGCATACTGGAGTGCCTGGGCTGTTAACGACACGTCTGAATCTGGGGACGACATGTCTTTGTGAGTCAGTGACTCAGTCGCTTCCTTCTGCAGTGCAGACTGGGGTTGCCCTGCCTGCCAGATCCGTCCTTGTAGGGATGTGACTCGGTTCGCTTGTCTGTCTCGCAGGATCTGCACTGGGTCTTTGAGCGAGAACTCCTCGAATAGGCGCTCGGTGGATGTTCCTGTGAGATGGACCGGTCTGTTCAGGACTGCCCTAATTTTTCTGGCAAACCATCCTCGCAGCTGTTTAGCAGTATCTGCCGTAAGGCCTATGTCTACAAGGCCTGCTGAGACAGTGGCCCAGACTGTGGAGAACCAAATCTTGAGTCTGCTCTTTGGCCCCGAGTGTCTCCTGTTGTGAACATATCTGCGAACTTGTTGAAGTTTGGCGTTGCCTTCTTGCAGGCGATGTGCGAGGCTCAGTTTTTCCTGATTGCCGTAAGAGACGTACGCACCTAGGTACTCAAAAGAGTGAGATTGTGGAAATGACTCCTGGGCTTTCGTGCTACCTATTCTCCATAACCGATGCTTGTTGCCTCGTGCATCTTTGTGAACTCGGCTGAAGAGTTTGTGTGCTCTGGAGGAGGCAGTACCTATGAGTTTTACCATCAGGTGGCACTTCTCTGGGTTCACCTTAAAGCCGTACTTTCGAACAATGCGGAGCAACTCTGCTATCATTTGGTGAGCCTTTAGCAGGTCTTCCCAATTATTGATGGGGTGGTGGATCGTCATGTCATCTGCATAGCCTGTGAGGGATTGCTGCATCCTTTCTTTGCCCACAACTGTAGATAGTTCCTTAAAGAGCTTGCCTGTGAGCATCGAGAAGAGAGTGGGGGCGAGCTTACATCCTTGTTTGATTCCTGTAGTCGATTCTACTTCACTTGTCCGTTGCTGAGATCTGACTTTATAGCGACTGTCTGTGTGCAAAGACGCTACTAAGTTCTGCACCGCGATTGGGACATTGGCCTCCTGCAGGGTGTCCATGAGGTCCTGTCGTCGCACCATGTCGAATGCTTGAGAAAGGTCCAGTGCAAAGCAAATGCCCCCTACTAGTTCTGGCTTGGCATGGCCTGCATGCTGGCTGTGTCTGCTGAGTCTGGCTTGTGCGCAGGCATGCCTGACTTCGCGCGTGTGTTGCGAGACTCTGGACAGGGCATCCGAAAGCCCTCTCCTAGGCTGATAGGCAAACTGAGGCACTGGCTTTAGGTAGCTAGACGTGTAGGGAGCTAGCAGATCCCTGCATGCTCCTGCCAATCCTTTGCCATCTGGTCGTATAATGCCTAGTGGGCGGAGATTAGTGGGCTTGTTTGGTGGCTTATTCGGCTTGGGAATAAAGCAGAGGTCAGTATCTTTCAGCGGTGCTGAAAGTGTCACTGAGGAATCCACTGAGCAGTGCTCAGCTTTGAGGCTCTGTGCCTGGCAGTATTGCTGGAGCACGTCTCCTGTCGAGGCTGAGCACAGTTTCCACGCTGCTGCCGAAGCTGAACCTTCGGGTACTGCTTTGTGCGGCCGTATGGAACAGATGTGCTTGGCCAATGCTGGAGCTTGCAGGTGTGGCAGTGTATTCACCAGCACATCTAACCTGTCATGCCTCTGGAACACTGCCTTAGCATGATCTGTCATCAGCAGGAGTTCCTCCTCGGCTGCCATCAAGTATCCGTCCTGGTTAACCAACTGTGTTTTCGGCTGTGGTTGCCAGGGTCGAAGAGTTTTCAGGGTTTTGTGGCTTAAGTAGGAATCTCCCGTATTGGCTGCGTGATCCACCTCCTTTGTGAAGTCAGCTACTCGTTGCTTCTTTGCCAATAATACTGCTTGCTTATGCCAAGTCGCCAGGTCATTGACCAACACCTCGTGGTCTGCCTGTGTCAGGGAGTGGCTTCTTAAGTCTTCGTCCAGTGCAGACAGACGCGACCACATTCTTTGAGTTGCCCTGTGCATGGCGTTCAGCGGGGGAGCTGAAGGTTTAGGGGCACGCGGAAAGTACCTCTCTGAAGCACGTATGAGGATGTCATTGACCTCATTCATGTCCGGAGGAGTCAGCTGCTGAAGTTGGTCAGCGACCCACTCCTTCATTTCTTGTGCCTTAGGATGATTGTAACGCACTGCATGTTCAAGAGCATGCTTGTCATAGGGCGGGGGGGGAGGGGGGGGAGGGGGGAGCTGCCAGTGCCTCATTGGGCGTATTTGTGCTTCCTCGGGGAGATGGCCACCCTTCTTCCATTTCCCGAGCGGAAAATTGTCGATTGGCTTGCTCTTCTTAGCATCACTTCGGGAGATAGTCTTCGGGACTAGGATGTAATCCAATTGAGATTGCGTTGTGGCTGTGCGGAAAGTAAATCCTTTCCCTGAAGACCAGGTGTTCAGCGCAACTAATCCATGTCCCTGAACCAGCCGTTGAAAGTATTCGTCTTCGGTCTTTCGATGTGGAGGAGGTCCTGGAGTGCACAAGCCAACCGCTCCTGGGCTCGACTGCAAGGTCGAGTTGAAGTCGCCCAGCACTATCAGGGTGTCTCTCTGCGGTGTACCTCGGATGGCACGGGACAGAGCAGCGAGGGTGGTGGATCTGTCTTCTCTGTTTTTCTGTGCAGTTTTTGAGGTCGACCATACGTGCTGGTATACTGTCACAACGTGTGCTCGAGCTCCCTTCCACTGGAAGACTATCTCGAGGACACGTCCCTTCTGATGCTCTTTCCATCTGACCGTGTCTTTTGGAATGTGCGGGGCAGTCAGGACCATCACTCCATCTGCTCGCTTGTCATCATGCAGGGCATGAGATTGGGCGTCTGGCAGTGCCAGTCCCGTTCCTTCTGTGCTCGGATTTGGCTTTTTCTTAGCCCGGGTGGCCTTCGCCTGTCCTTTGCTGGCAGAGCTAACACAGTGCCAGCCCTCCACCTCAAATTCGGTGGTTTCCTGCCAGTGTGTCTCCTGCAGGGCAATAACATCATATTTGTCTGCTGCCGTGCGAAGCCACGTGCGAAGTTCGGCCCACTGCTGTTGTCCTAAGTGCCCTGCGTTCCAGGTGAGTACTCGGAGTGGCTTAGCCATTGCTCCCCCTCTGGATCTTGGCATTGTGCGCTTAGGTGCAGGCGTCTGCTGTGTGGAGCCCCCTTCTGCAGGTTGGGCAGGGGGATTCAATCCACTCCGTGCAACATATTCAGGTGTCAAGATGCCTCGCCTATAAGAAATGCTTTGTTGGGTGCGTGAAACTAACGTGCAAGCTCTCCTGAATGCAACTTTACGAATGCTCCGAAAATTGTTGGGGTGCTCAGAAGGTACCGCCATCCGCTAGTTTTTCCCCACGCCGAGCGATACTGAGATAGCTTTTCGTGAGTACTCCTTCCACCTCGCGGAGCAGTGGAAACACCTCTCGCCTACCTCCTGAATGGCTGACTGCAATGTCTGAGCTCAGGAGGCCCGGGAATTGGGACCCGGCAGATCAGACAGCACAAATAACGCGGCTCACCATGGCTCACAGTAAGGCACAAGCTGTTACGTTTCCCTGAGGACTGGTTGAACCTCTAGGACAGCAGTTGCGCCCAAAGCCCGGTTTACCAGGATGCAAGTGCCCGGCCGTCTGATCCGTGGCGGCTACAACAACAACAACAACAACAACAACAACAACAACAACAACAACAACAACAACAACAACAACAACAACAACAACAACAACAACAACAACAACAACAACAACAACCACAACAACAACACAACAAAAAACAACAACAACAAACACAACAACACAAACAACAACACAACAACAACACAAACAACAACAACAACAACAACAACAAGAACAACAAGAACAAAGAACAACACAACACAACAACAACAAACAACAACAACAAACAACACAACAACAACAACAACAACAACAACAACAACAAACAACAACAACAATAAGAAGAACAACAACAACAATAAGAAGAAGAACAACAACAACAATAAGAACAACAACAACAACAACAACAACAACAACAACAACGACAACAACGACAACGACAACGACAACGACAACGACAACGACAACGACAACGACAACGACAACGACAACGACAACGACAACCACAACAACAACAACAACAACAACAACAACAACAACAACAACAACAACAACAACAACAACAACAACAACAACAACAACAACAACAACAACAACAACAACAACAACAACAACAACAACAACAACAACAACACAGAACAACATCAACAACAACAACGACAACGACGACAACAACAACAACAACGACGACGACGACAACAACAACAACAACAACAACAACAACCACAACAACACAACAACAACAACAACAACAACAACAACAACAACAACAACAACAACAACAACAACAACAACAACAACAACAACAACAACAACAACAACAACAACAACAACAACATAATAATAATAATAATAATAATAATAATAATAATAATAATAGAAATAATAATAATAATAATAACATCAGAGTCCTAAGGAAAACATTCTAACGCTGTGGCCGCTGTGGCGCGTAAGGAGAGTGCTTGCGCAAAGTCGCGCAAAGAAATCGGAGTCCCAAACATTCAAAACAGCAAACTCGGAAGGAAACAAGAAAAAGAGCCCGCCCAGCTCGCAGAGCTGCCAGGATCGGTCTTGCATTGCCAATGCCCTGAAACCGTGAAACCTTGAACCCTACTTGGTACTAGCGTGACTCCATCGCCTCTCCTTCCAGTCCTGTTCCAGTCCTGTTCCAGTCCTGTTCCAGTCTCTTCTCCCTTTCTTCCCAGCTCTGAGGCCTCGTAGGTGCTGAAGGCCAAAGCCTGAGATGTCATCTCCAAGGACTGGTGGCACTGCTCCAGCTTCCGCCTCGCAATCTGCAGGAATCAACAGGATGTTCTGATCATTATCGAAACTGAGCAACTGCACGTACGACACCTGTCTCCCAGCTACGCATCCAGCCCGAAAACCTCAGCTTGGTTCATGGCATTCGCCGAGGCTGGTAGGCCTCTGGTAGGCCCCTGAAAAAACGGCTCTGTGCCCTCGAGGGCCCCAAAACCTGCAGGCTCCCTTTTCTTTTTTCCTGTCGCCCAGGGCCTCAAGGGGGGGGTTAACGGTTAGGGTGTGGCTTCAAGGTTTCTGCTGACCATTGCTGACCCTAGAAGCCCGCCTCCCCCCCCCCCAAAAAAAAAATAGCTAAATAAATAAATATATATATATACATATACATATATACAGATATGTATGAATGTATGAATGTATGAATGTATGAATGTATGAATGTATGAATGTATGAATGTATGAAAGTATGAAAGTATGAATGTATGAATGTATGAATGTATGAATGTATGAATGTATGAGTGTAGGAATGTAGGAATGTAGGAATGTATGAATGTATGAATGTATGTATGAATGTATGTATGTATGTATGTATGCATATCGACGGTCTTGGAGGCATGCTGAAACTTCTGATGGCTACGTTTCTTTGCACCGCTTGTTGTCAAGCATTGTCAAGCTGTAAGGGTCTTTATTTACGCTTTCAAATCTGTCAACTGAGTCAACTGCAGATGCGTCAGGGAAGGCTACATCGGTGGACGCTGAATGCCTAGGATCGGAAAGTGCTTCCTCAACGCCTGCCTCGTTGGGTGGTCAAAGCGTCCATAGATGGCTCCCTCGGAGTATGGCATGCCCGGTGCTTGGTAGCGGAAAGCTTGTGACCTGGGTCTGGCTGGAGCAAAAGCCGTGGCCCCGTCTATGGACCCCCGATGCACAGCCTGAGGCTTGACTGCATCAGTGCACTGAGGCAGGAAAACCTTACAACAAGCGAAACAACATGAAACAACCAACTCTGAAGGGGAAGACGATCTCTTAAGCCCTAAACCCTAAACCCTAAGGGCCACAAGTGTCGTGCAGCATTTTGGACCCAAGCTGGACAATCCGCGGAATCTTGATGCTTTAGGCTTTGGCATAGAAAGAGACAACATGTGGGGCGGGTTTCCCAGATCCAAGTCCGGTTTGTTGGGTATCTTGGCCATTGGCGACCCCCCCATGTAAGAGTGAGGACACCAACTTTTCTGGGGTGCAAAGAAAGGTAATCAGGAGGCAAATTGACAGTAGCCCAGGGACAAGTGGATAGGAATGCCCATGCAGCCGATGCCATCCTTCACGTCCCCTCTGTGTTGCAAGCACCGTGTTGCGGCGCCCCAGTCCTCAGGCTACGGGTTTGCGGTTTTTCTTCGGGACTCGCTAGTCCAAGGTTCACTCTGTTCTATTTGATTCCTGCATAACCCCGAAGTACTGCTTTCGGTGAGGGTTTGGGGTATAGGGTTTAGGGCGATTTTGGGGTTTAGGCTGAAGAAAGGGCACCCTTTGTGGTTCAAAAGGGAACCTAAGCCTTAAACAAGGGAATAAGGGCCTACTCTGGGGTCCTAGTTTAGGGTTTAGGGCCCTCTCCTTATTCACAAGCCCAGCATAAACTGCTGTGTGCACAGTCCCAAAGATTTGGGGTAACCGGGTAAAGGGTTGCAAAGGAACTCCACTTGAAGGGAGCCCAGGAGGTCTACTGAGATTCAATACCATGAACCAGTAGAATGCAGCACCTGCAGCTTTGAAGGCCTAGGGTCTTTCCACACATGCTTGCCGCTGCTGGAGTGCTTCCCAAATTTCGAGGGCTCGACCTCGTGCTCCATATATGTGGACACCTTTGCAGCACCATGGTGGAGGAAAGAGATTATCCTTTTGTTCGTCCTAGGATTTGCAGAGCAATGAAACTTCTGCTAAGCCAAGCTGTGCCCAGACACGGTCAAAAGAAAGGCATAGAGCAGCATGCAGCCGCCAAAGCTTTGGCACATCAATCCAAAACTGACCTGAGGGTCCACATTTGCATCGGCAGAGATTTACAGTTCGCCAACCGAAGTGCCATTTGCACTGGCCCGGCGGGTTCACCAACCCCCCCCCCACCGCCACGCCCTCCAGGATAAGGCCAATCCCAACGCATTAATGTTCCCAAGGCAGTGGCCACAAAAACTGGAGCACAGAGAAACGCACTCTGTGATTTGTAATCAACAAGAAAAGTACCACCTTTGGGAGAAGAACCCTGTACAAGTACCTCAAGCCTGGCGGCGCCGATATGCGCAGCACGCCTGATACCATACGGTTCTCGAGGTCAACCCCTGGATAGCCCGAAACACGAACAACAGGAGCAGTTGGGCCCATGAAGTCGCAGGTGTGGCTACCAGGTACGATTACCAGCGCATATAACCGTGACCCCCCCAGAGGTGCACGACAATAAAGGGCGCCAGTGTAGCACATAGCGAAAGCTTCAGGACAGCACGGCAAGTGAAGGAACGCACGCAGGTGGGGAAAGCAAGCATACGTGCGCGTGAGGGAGCCCGGGTTAGGCACGGGCTTCACAACCCCGACTGCAATGGCAAAAGAGAAGAGAACGCACAGAGCTTGCTTCTCACAAGGAACAGGTCTTCACCACTCTTCACCCTTTTCAGGCACCGCTTCCCCATGTCAGCCTGACCCAACCCAGATCCTGAAACCACGTGACGTGCTGGCAGATGATGCTGCCCGCTGCCGGACCAAGGATGAAGGCGGCCTAGGCAACGGGATCACGGCAGAGATACGCTGCGTACTGGGAGCCCCCACCTAAACCCTGAACCCTAAACCCTAACTAATCCTTGGGCTCTAAGGCCCTAAGACCATGTGAGCAGAAGTTGGCAAGGACTACAGTTTGGTTAAAAGGAAGAGGGGTGTTTTAGAGCTTGCAAAGGATCCTCAGAGGTGTATCTACTTGAGTGCTGCTCTGAATTGAAGGCTCTGTCGGGTTTGAAACGGTATAATCCGTATAATTTATAATTTCAAGGTACTAAACGGGCACATATTTTTGCACAATGCCCCCATATAAAGCCCCCGGAAATTCTGCACAGAAGAACGAGCCTTACCAGGGTCTCGCAGTATCCCTTGCTTACATAATTTCGGTTGGTTGTCTTTTGTCGGGGGGCTCACTTGCATGGGACTCTGCACTTGAGGAATGTTTTGGATCATGGCTCCCTTTGTGCAGACTGGGATCCTTCTTGGATTTGAATGGTATCGGGCCATAACGGAGAAACGAGTACTGATTTCACTGCCTACTCACTTGACCCTAAACCTTAAGTCGCATAAAAGCGGCTTGGTCCGCAACATTGGAAAGGACGAATACCTGACCCGTCCTTCGTGAAGGGCTTTCGGGGAGTTCTGGGAGTTTAGGGCTTCCATGGGTGCCGTCCATGGCCATAAGTTTTAACCACAAGCTTAAAGGAAATGGCCCCCTCTCGCGGAAGGTAGAAAGGGGGGTGCGGGTATGTGGTATGCCGCAACATGTGGCCCTCTCGGTCTCCATGCTGCCAGCATATGGGTCTTCCACCCCAAAAGAAGGGTACCCTGTTCATTCTACTCCGAGTAGGTCCTAGGTAGGTCTTATATATTTCTCAGTTCTAGGCAACCGTTCATTCTGAATGACAAAGGGTAGCCCTTTTGAAGGGCCTCAGAAGAGTCCATGCGGCTGACGGTTCGACTTGAAGCGTGGGAGGTGCTTCCCCCTTGCAGGCCCCGCCACCCCCCCCATGAGCATGATCCACCATGAAAACAGGAATCAAACACGCCATTGTCCAAGGCCCTCTCCCCTTTAAGAGTACAGATCGCAAGCGTGAACACTGCTTGTGCGATGATTGCTGTGGGTTGAACTTCTCCTCAGCAGGTCATTCAAGAACTCCTGCAGTCGTGAGCCTGTGCCATTCCCTGGACACAATCCTTAACGTGGCTACTCAGGGATCGCCAGCTATAACCTGTAGGACTTTTCCAGGGCCATCAAGCATTGTACATGCCAGAATTTCCAAGCGTTTGATTGAACCTTGAACCCTTGATAGGAACTGGGAGCTGTCGCATTCCGAACTACCACCATACTCCAGGCGTCTCACTGCGCTTGTTTTTGTGTCCACGAATCATGCTGATGCAGTCCCTGATGCCCACGCTGACTGCACGGATCTTCTGAGTGCCGTGGGCTGTGACTTCGAACAAGAAGCAACTGAGGAGTTGTCCCGCCGTACTTCTCCTGACTCCGATCTGCCAACATCGCTGGCGTATTTCCATCCACAATTCCTTAAACAGATTTGCAATAGATTTCATCTACTCACCTGTGCTCTGAACGACCCATCTAGCCCGAAATTCAAACGTTCTTGCTCGGTACCTAGGCGAGCACTCGTAGGCTGAGGAAAACCTGATCTTTCCAGTTTGGTAGTTTCCTGCTGGCATCTGCTGGCTCTTGCATAGTCACGCATGCTGCCACTACGAATTCCGGAGGGGGGGGGGGGGGGTGTAGAAATGCGGTGGTGCTATAACTTGCAGCTATCCAACTGGGAACTACACATTTATCAAGTTGTTCCCCCTCATCCCTAAACCCTACATGAAAAGTTCATCCCAGGTCAACATCCAAGGCACCAGCTGCGACACTCGCACCAAGCAGTGTGAGAGCGAGCGTGTGAGGGGAGATGTAGTCTGAAGGGAAACTTAGCAAAGCCTTAGCTTTTTTGGAATGGGGGGAGGCTCCTTGGACTTTGAGACTAGGGAGGCGAGTAGGTTTTGGAGGTTTTGGCGTGCATTCCTGAAAGAGTTTTCCTCGTCACTTTCCTGCTTGTAACCCTGGTTGCTGCCATGCATCAAGCCTTCAAGTGACCGCAAATACAAGGGCCCTTGATTGAATTTCCCACGGCTGCTTTTTGGTTCAATATTTTGGAGCAACCCATCAAGACCTCTTCATGATATGCGCGCTCGTTGAAATGAAATAGGGGAGATAGAGAGATAAACAAACGAGCATTTTACACAATATATATATATATACATATACATATATATATATATATATATGTGCGTGTGTGTGAACCTGATAACCGCCAAGATATCTGACATCAAAGCTATTGCCTTCCCAGGTTGGTGGACTTTTCCGTTGTGTGACTCATGGCCCAACTCTCCACAAAAAGAACGACTTGATCAACTCCTAAACAGTGGAATGCGCAGGAATCTGTTCAAGCCATATACGACTAACAGAGCGACTTCCCCGCAGTCCCTGAGAGTATCAGGAACAGGCTTGAGTTCTTGTTCTACGAATCCGTGTGGAACACATTTGTTAAAGCAAAACTACTTCAAGGCCAAATGCCGTGGTATGAAAGCCAAAGTGGAAAGTTCGCACTTGTGGGATCTTATGGGGGGGGGGGGGCTACTCGTCTCACTTTGGCTGAAGACTACTACCTCACCAAACCCCCAGCCCAAACCCTAAAGGGCTCTAAACGCATCCATGGAGCGCTGCCGCCACAAAGAAACATCGCCACGATCTGCAAAGTGTGCCCTTCCAATAGTGACCGAAGCATTGGAACGAGATACCTGGATGCGAGCCAATGTGGAGTTTAGGCTTTTTGGCTGCACAGCGGCTCACAATTGTTAAGAGAATAGGTTATAAATCTTACTTCCAGCTCCCGCTCCAAGCTTTGCATCCGGTTGAACAAAAGGAAAATGTGCTGTAGGTGAACGAAATACGCAAAGAGGATAGCAGGAACGGAAGTCAACAGCCACGTCAGGTTCTGCTTTGTCTGGTCATACCCCAAGCGGACCATGTACTCAAAGGCCGTGGAGCCCAGTGCTGCAATGAAGGCCAGAGCCAGAAACAAAGCAACAATTGGATTGCGTACCTGGAAGTACAGTAGTGCTTTGTTGTGACTGCCCATGCGCCTGTGGGTGATGCGTGCAATATCATTACGGTTTAGGGTTGAGGGTCAGGGTATCGGACAGGCTCCGAAATGCTTCGAATACTTCCAAGTCAACACCAAAGCGCATCCGGGTCCATGATTAACTGCAGCATACCAACTGTCGCCTGCCAAGAATGGGTCAAAATAAATGTTGCTCCACAATTTACAGTAAGAATGGTTTGCACAAGCACACGCCGCTCGTGACCACGGGTGGGTAAACCAGGCTGCAACTCCACAACAGTTGATCACAGTAGTATGTAGTGTATATATATATATATACACTGTAACTGCAACCCTTTTTGATTCGGGCACTGAAGCAGAGCCCGCATGTGCAGTGCCAAGGACTAGTTCCTAGAGGCATTCCTGGTGCAATCCACGGCCCATCGTGTAGTGTGCAGCATCAATAGACAGTTGCTCGGCTAAGAATGCTCCCTGCGGATTCTTGGCTGCAAGCCATTCTTCCTTGCGGCTGCTGTTACTCGTGCCAGGGGGTTTGAGCTTTGCTTCCTCTGCACATGCTGGCCACATGCTGCAAAAAGTGGGGCAAAGCGGAAGCATGCAGTTGTTCACAACAGTACGACGTCGAGAAACTCCACCGAGAAAGTACCAAGAGCTTTTCGTTTCTGCGTTGTGAAGCAGGGTTGACCCCATGGACATGAAGGCGAAGCTTGACACCTTGGGTCCTGCAGCATCAGGCTGCAGAAGGTGTCGATCCCTGGTCTAGGTAGGGTGCCAAAAAGGACCCATAATTTCAGGAGACGCTAGCATCGCCCAGCAGCAAGATCTTCAGACATCTGAGGTGGTGCCTCTTCTGTCTCTTTGAGCGCCGGTGGCCGTTGTAAACTTGGAAGCCGGTTGCGCATCATGTAGTACATACCTTGGATGGGTTGAGCGATTCAGGGGCTTCAGGGTTTATGGGTTTTAAAGGCTTAGCATGCTTTTGGTAAGGATTCGGAAACTCTCTTAGGACACATGACTCAGCCATCGCCGCGTAGACTGTAGAACAAGGAGTGCTGAAATGATACAAAAACGAAACTAAAAACAAACATGCACAAATGGGGGTTTCCAGTATGGGGTCGATAATCAGGGTCCCTTGTTCTCGTAACCCCACATGAATCTCTACTCAGAGAGCCGGGGAGTGCAAAAACTGAGGCTCTGCTCCGCATGACGCTTACTATACTTAATTGTTCATCTGTGTGGGGAATCTGCTAAATGATGGTCCCTCTTTAAGGGGCCCCCCATTGTAGTGCATATAGCTTAGGGAAACCGACCTAGTCATGAAAAAACAGCGTCGATGCTTCGATGTTTCGGTGCTCTTTTTGGCATCTGCTGTGGAACCTGTTACCATGCCGTGCATCACCTTGGGACTTAATAGAACAAGTGAAATATGGTTGCACCAACTTACGGATACTTAGAGAGTGTTGTAGGATCGGATGATAAACTGGTCTGCTGGATTCTCTAAGTTGCACATCTGCGCAGCCATGAGGAAAATGAATAAGGGGCGTGTGTCATCCACGAAGCAACCGCCAGCCTGGCGATGGATGCAAAAAAACCCTTTTATTCACCCTTGCTAACCCGAAACCCTGCTGTTAATCAGAACCCCCTCCGCCCGACTGAGAGGAACTGAGGAGGTGATACCAACCACCTGCAGAACTTAAAAGGAGTCTGTTCGGAGTACCAGACTTCAAGGGAAGAAAGTGCTTTGCGAACCCTTGGGGCACCTACCGAGGGCAACTCGTGACCTTTACCCCATCTTCGTATCTCTGGGAGCCTTAAGTGTATGGAATCAAGGCTCCGCAGAGCACCAAGCTGAAGGGACACCTCAAAGAACAAGAATGCGCAGCGTAGCAGCCATCTTTACCTCTGCATCGAAATGTCTGGAAAAAGGACTCCGTCCCTTCAACCCCTCTCCGGGTTCTCCAATAAGGTCCACGCCCTTGAAGCCCTGGTGAAGGATGGCAAGACCGGGCTTGACGAAGCTGCGCGGTCTTGTTGAAAAGGCACCCTACTATACCCTGAAAAAGCATCAGGGCCTGTGGGCCAAGGACAACCTGAGGCTGTTCCGGGAGATACAACAGAAACCACTAACAATACAAACAGGGTAGTTGTAAGTATAGGAGCCCTGAGGAGGATTGTTTCATATGTTGACGTAGTCTTCTTTAAAATATCTTGTTACCCAACCATACCCAACCTATAGGCTCTGGTTGTACCCCAGATCGCCTGCTTGCTGCCTAAAGCATGGATAGAACATGCCATGTTTGATGTGGGCTACACAGCTAGCTGCCGAGTCACAAAGAGCTCTTTCACATTGAACATTCCTACAGGCCACATGCCTTTTGCTACCGGGCTGCTCCTAATTAAGGACATGTTCGACAAGCTGGGCGATGCTTGCATGAAGCAGTCTGACATATTCTGACGGCATGCAGGTATGTCCCCGCAATGGTCCTCCAATGACCCTTGCGCCCTTGCGCCTAACCAGTTGATTAGTGGAACAATGTGGAACATAAATGTGCACACCCATGAAATGGGGGGGGGTTAGCGGCAAAACGAAGATGCTATAATAGGGACCTCCCCCCCCGCCCCCAACAAAAAACACTTTTTGTTTGCACAACCCTCACAATCCAGTTCTTATTATCGCCCTTCGGACCCCTTCCCTGCCAAAGCGGCCCCCGCGTAGAGGCCGGCCGTTGCCATGGACATCGCCTGGGTGCGAGCTTGAGCCTGGCCCAGGGTCCAGGGCGAAGATTGCCTCTGAAAGTGCTTAGAGAATCTTTAAAGTAGAAACCTTAAGCGCTTGTTTAAGGATCTTGCGGGACCTGTGTTGGCAGATGGTTCACGCCCAGGCTGAAAGTCTACTAGTATGTCCTCCTGTGCCCCCTCGCACCTCATCTGCATGCAGTTGGTTGCAAAGGGCAAAGCCGCCCCAGACGATAGCTGCCTTATCACGGCAGCTTTGCAACTTGACACCTTGGCCAACGCTACCTACTACCAACCACGTCGGCTCTGCACTGTCCCACAAGACCAGGAGGGCGCTGTCCTTGCTACATGGACGGAAAAACCCTATCCCCAAAGCAGCAACGCCGTCAGAAAGGCAAATCAGCCCCCCCCCCCCCCCATCCCCTCCACAAGCAAACATGGCACCAGAAAATGTGCTTCAAGACAACCGCCCATTTATATTAAAGCGGGCTGGATGGCGTTCCGTCCTCATTTGAGGTCCATCATGTTGTGTGTGTGTGTCCGCAGTTGCAACCAGGGCTTCATCAATGCGAGTTTCAAGGAGCACATCTTCAAAAAGACCGCCTGCATGATCCAGGCCTAATTTGAAAGCCACGGCACTGTGGAGCATCCACTGATACAGCGTATTGCTAGCCAGAACCAGTAGTTCTTCACCTTGGAAAGGGCAAAGCACGCAGCAGTTCTGCACTGGGTCATATCCAGAGAGTTGAAAGTTCGTCGCTTTCATCACGTTTCCAAGCCTGATGCAACCTCTCCTTCGACCGAGTTTCGACTGCTAAGCCTAGAGTGCATAGCATCGCGCACAGCATCCCAAGCTGCATGGATTTCGCTTCATTTCCATCGATGAAACGGCCAGCGAAGGGTGCGATCAGGCAAGTGACGACGTTCTTGGAGCTCGTGAGCAGTGCAATAAGTTGGTAGCTTGGCGTAAGCGTCGGCGCCACTGGGGTAAGGATCGTTGTCATGAACAGATCTAAGAAAATAGCCGCACTCACCAGCGTGTCTACTTGGCCAAGATTTAGAAGCAAAAGGAAACATACCAAAGACACACTGCCGCCTGCTAGGCGAAGAATCTGTGGTGACGGCAGTTGGACGGAGACCTCGGAGACCTTGCTGGAGAAACTGATGTGGGTTTGTAAAAGCTCCACGGCAAGGACGTTGTCTCCATCAGCACTGCGTCGCCAGGAGTCCGTGCACTCCATGCTCTCAGCCACAGCAAGACTGGCATCACTGGCGTTGCAGTGCACTGTTGAGGCCAGCGCATGCTGGAAGACTACCCCGAATAGCACGCTCCAAGGCGATAGCATGGCTACAGGTCAAGAGGGGAACATTCTGCCATGGTCTTCGAGCCTGCGGGAAGAAAACACGGCAATAGTGACCTGTGGCATGAAACGGGCTAAACGAAGATAGTGTGCAACCATTCCGCCTTAGCATGGAAGCCGGCACTTCATGACCTGTGCTAGGTTGCTCATGAACGGGCTGACGCACACGAGCACAGGGAGGTGGAGTCCACCCTGCACCGCTGATCTGCATGTCTATGCCAGTCTATGCTCTAGCAAGGAAAGCCTTCTACGCACGGATACGCATGGTCAACTCGACCATGCCGACAAGAGTACATTATTTCGACTGGCAGGCTGGCAGGCTGTGTCGCAGCACGCGTTTACTGTGCCGGAAACGAACACAGAGACGCAGAGTAACTCTTTTGACCGCTTGACCCCCCAACCCTCGCACTCTAGCCGACTCTAGCCGCAAAGAAACGAAACAGTCACACAAACCCGCCAAAGCTGAAGGCTGCTTTCTGGGGAGATTACAGTACCCTAATCGCAACCCCCTTATCCCCTTGTAAATCATGCAACACCAAATATTTCGCACAAGTGCATGGTGGAAACTGCCACAAAGTACCTGGTCCACCTCTTTGCAAAAACTCAAAACGCAAGGGATGAGGACGGCATGCGATTTTGACTCAGAAGCTGCACAAGCTCTTGGTGGTCTTTCACGGCGTTTACGCGCTGAAAGGCAAGCTTTGGCCCATCGGCAACGGCTTGGGCTGCTTGGTTTGTTGCGGAAGTCGAGATGCAAATCATGGCAAGCCCCTATTCTCCAGTGCTGCTTGTACTGATGGACGAAACGCTCGCGGATTGCTACAAGCAGGTGTTCCCAGTCTCTGGAGCTTTTGCCGTGCACCTGGGTGTATTGGACGAGGAGCTCCTCGGGCGCGGCAGGCAAACATCACACGTCTCCAAGGCTGCTTCTGTGATTTTCAAGCCCTCCGGGGGGTCGTCTTTTTCTGAAAACACAAGCAGCCTGCCCGACGAGGTTTGCTTGTTTGCTCAAGGACAGATCACTACCGGCTTAGCACCCAAAATATTTGGGCTCTGTACCAATGACATTGGCAGAAAACGAGAACAGGTACAGCCACAAAGAAGAAAATTTCGAGCAGCCAAAGCAACCAAGCACGGATGGTACCAACAGCGGGAGCGATCCCGCTGATAACGTCTGCCTCCCGAAGGAAGGCCCAATACAGGTTGCCAACACAACATTCTTTCCAAACTGGTATGACCGATTGAGCGAGTAGCTGTAGGCGTCCACTGCGTATGGAGTAATGACTTCCCCCGTCTTGAACATGTAGCGGCTACAGTTTTCCGCCTTAGCTGTAGCACACAACTAGATGGGTGTTCTCCCAAATTACAACACCCGTATTCTTGTGTAGAAAGTGGCCCAGCCTCTCAATATTGCCAACCAATAGAAAATGTCTTAAGCAATACACACAAGTTGCTGTGAACAGATGCTGGTTCTGTTGATGTTTCGCATTGTATTCTTAATGCATCAAAACCAAAGGGGCACAGCCGGAAAGATCATCGAAGGTTTGCTCCAGCGAATTCCATTCTGGTGTATGTGCAAAAGCTTCCAGAACAACAGCAATGCAGGCCCCAGCTGCTTCGCACAGGTAAAATTGCCGTCGAACCCTGCCGTTTCCCCCAAGTCTACAACTGGAGAGAACTGCAACGCTGGCCTGACCCGTGTCAAGATTGGAATCAAATTTGCTCGCGAGCTAGCATGACTTGTTTTCACGGCCACTCTGATGGTAGCAAGGTAATTGGACATGTTGTACGTTGGTCGGTTAGGAGGCACGTCCACCAATCAACATCAAGGGGGGGGGCACCCAGGGATTCAAGGAGGGGGCACGTTTCAAGCTTCAGATCGATGCGATTCCGACACAGCAGCGTGAACCGAACAACATGTAACAGCGCAAGTTCCCTCAAACTCAGCCCGACATGAGTGTAGGAAGCTCAGTGGAGACGCACTTTCCTTGTCCAACAGGTATGGGCCATTGGCCAACCAGTTTCGCAAACAAATGTTAAGCGCGAATGTTGCGGAAGCCTCGGAATTGTCTTTGATGCACCACGCTGGCAGGGTCTCAAGATGGTCAAACCCCTGTGTCTGTTCGTTCAGAGTACTTGCAGTCTCCTTGCGGCGATCCTCAACCTGAACCCAATCTGGGAGTTGCTGCATCGGGCAGGCTGGATGCCGTCTCCTGCGCACTCACAACGACTCTCACCGAGATCTCGGATAATAGCATGCAAGAGCCTTGCAGTCTGTCCGAGTCTAGCTCGTTTGTCACACACACATGTCAGCTAGTTCGTCAAAAACCAGCTTGTGTATGCCAAACCTTTAAAGCGGAATTGCCCTATTGAAGCCGCTGCAGCATTTCAATCTTGAGTGTCCCGTGGAAGCTCCATCTGCCCAACTCCACCTCCATTTTGGTCGACAAAGAAAACCTGATAGCCAGGCCCCATTGATTGCGCCCCTCATTAGTGAATGTCAAGTGCACGTAAACAACATCGCCTTCCCAGTCGACCGTGATATCACGCGTATCCAACCATCTGGCAAGGGTGGCCAACCTCCAATAGTTGCAACCATGGGCCAAAGAAGATGCTAGGGCCGCTAGGGCTGCTAGTACACACGAAAGTTGCACTGCATTCGCCTTTGAAGAATTGATCCTGCACCCTTCTCCAGCCTTCAACCTCAGTAGCTCCAGTCAGACACGAACTTCATGGACGTCATAAAGCCGGGCCGACTAGCTAGACCATGCTAGCAAGTACAACGAAGGCCCAAAGCAAGTTTTCCTGACCTTGACAGGCAGGCTCCCACCCCACTCCTCCCGCGTGGTGATGTGAGTGAGGTTCGGGGTTTTTGGGGGTTTGGAGTTTGTGGTTTGGTGGTCTGAGACATGCGTGTTGGTTTCGGGTTGGCGGTTTGGAACCCTCCTCCAGGCTGTGAGACATACTTCACAACCTTCGGTTTGCTAAGACATGTCGAGACGCTCGAATTGTCCTCTTATCGGCTCAGGGTTTGGAAATTGGGGTTTGGGAAATGGGAAATTCCGAGTCTTTTTGGACTGGGACAGATTGAACATTTAAAGTTCTGCCAGTGCCAGGCCTACTTGAGAAGTCCCAGTGAGGCAGCCAGCGTGTGGCTCTATTGCAAGGGTTTTCTTAACGCTAGAGCCGCTAGTGCACTGACGACGAAATTGAGGTACGTCGATTGTAAGCATGCCATGCAGTATTCTGGCAACATGGCCGTGCGTTGGAAAAGGGAGGACATTGCCTTGGCCTGGATCCCGTGGCGGAGGGTGGCGTGTCTGTGACGTGTCTGTGACTTGGGGATGGCGGCGTTCGACATGCAGTGTTGCGTTTTCGAGATGCAAAGCGGGGGGGTCGAGGAAACCTTGTTTTAAGTTAAATAGAATCCAGAAACCCGTAAGACTTAAGATTTTTAGCAGAACAGTGCAACCTGGCTCAACCTGCACAGGTAGATTTTCGATATGCGCGCGGCACGGAGCCATGCACTTCGGGAGCCTCCTGTAAGGATTCATGTTTTCTCTTTCATTCTCGAAAGGGTTTCCGACCCCTCGGCATGCAACATGCGCGCTCTTTTTTGCGATTCCTTGGGTCGTCTTCAATTTCACTAGGATTCCGCGACAATATGCAGTTTGCATCTCGAAAACCGATCTGTGCAGGTTGAGCCAGGATTGTCCTCTTTTACTATTTAACTGCTTGTCATTTTTGCTACTTTAGCATGTTTACAGCATTGCTGGAACTCCTAAAAATTCGGATTCCTGTCTAACTTTCATCAGATTTCCTTGACCGCCGGCAGTTCCCCAAGCTATTTTGGCAGCAGTCACCTGGGCTGCTAGCTGCACCAGCTCCTTGACTGCTTCTTAAGGCGGTACATCCTCCTCAGTTGGGGCACTCTTCCACCATCAAGCAAACGAACGGCCGCACCGGCACTAACCGAAATAAAAGGAAAGCACCATGAGTTAATGAGGCCCTGCGCTACAACCCACACCCAGTGAAGTGTGATGTCACGGCTTGCTGGCTTCAGGAAGGCTTACCTGCCGCATATCTGTGTCGGAATCTGACTTCCAAAGCGAAAGTGAAGGCCGGACCCACCTTTTGACCTCAACCAGCTTTCATCAGACCCGACACGTCACTCTTCGTGCTCGAATCTTACACGCATCTTTCGTGCTGTGAGATTCGAGCACAAGCATTTCGCATCTCTTTAGACGTGGCCACTTCAAACCGCTCCGCCGCTCCAGGAAACGAAGCTCATTTTGTGTTGCATGCAGGTTTGCCCGAGCTACTAGACCTGCTGAAGCATTCAAGTGCCCGTCACAGGCTTCGTCCAAAGAGTATGAATCTGCCCTGTTTGTTCTTGTGTTTGACCGGTCTTCGCCTCGGTTCCCATAAATGACTGAACATGCTGAGCAGGAAACATCTTTTACATCGGGAGTTGCAGTGTGAAACACTTCTGTCACATCCGAAAAAGGGATTGAAACCACAAGGCGAAGATCATGGCGGGAGGGGGGAAGGTCATGTTATATACTTGTCTGCGAGTTGTGATAATGGTTTTAATTTCTCACTTGACTGCTAGATGCCTGACTCGGCAACCTCCGCAGGCGTCTAAACATCCATGAGTGCTGCACGCTCTGTGGTGCACAATGGGATACAATGGGCCCGGGCTGTCGCCGGCAGGCGGTCTGGCAGTTGTACTGGATGGCCTGTGGACGAATGCAGTCTTGACCATGTGTCAATTTGCAACTGGCAGATGAAGCATTGTGTCGTCTCATGCTGTATGAAACCAGCAAGGTGAACAAGAGACCCACCAGATGCTGCATGTTACATGCGACAGAATCCTTCGGCAGGCTGGTGCCGCGAGCGTGCACGGATGCTGGGCACTATGCTTTATTCAGCAATTAAGGGGCCTCAGGATATCCATGAATTTCCTATAGAGTTGTTCTCTTGTCTTCTCTGGGATGTTGACCATCGGCAAGGTAGACGCCTGCTAACTGTTTGTGCCCAGCTCTTCAACAGCTGCCTCTTGCTTCGCTTGTCAAGCCTCCTGCCCACTTTTTTCAATTCTTACTGCCGTGTTTCTGTTTAGGTGTAGGAACTTCCATCTTTCGTGATCGTTGATCCCCTCTGCTTCGCTTGATGACTTAATGTATCGCAGTGTTCTGTTGTCATGTTTGCTCACTTCCTTGCCATCCTTTTTGCCTCCTTTTCTTGCTTGGTCGGTTGCATTTCTTTCGACCATGGTACTTGATGTACTGTCCATGCTAGGCATTGCTAGGCAGTCGGCAACAATGTTGACACCAGAAATGACCTGCCTTGCGTGACCGGCTGCCGAGCCAGGGAAGGTGCGGACCTGATAGCTTGTTGATAGTTTACAACCGTCACAGGTTGCTCCGGATGCAGAGACAGCTGGTCGTGAATAAACTGACCTCCAGACGTGCTGAGACCATGAGCAGTCACTTTCGAACATGAGGAAAGTGTCCTGCCTGGTAACTCATGAAGCATGTGCGAGAATCCGTTAAAGCCGGCCGGATTCAATTATGGATCCAGCACATTCCAGCGCAGCCATTTAGCTTGCAACGACCATGTGTCACGTGCTCTGCAAGTGAACGTCAGCCAACAACCCTTGAAACCCGTAGCTCTGAGATAATCTGCAATCTGACCCGCAACCACCCCACACCATTGTTCAAAAAGCTGCTTGCCTATTTTTCCACACATTGCTGATGACCAGTCTTTGAACGACGGCAGGCAGCCAAGGATTCAGAGAAGGGCAGCTATTTAGACATATTTAGACCATCGAGCCCTGGTCTCAATAGATAATGAATCGAGAGGTGTCTGAAGCCAGCTGCTGAAGAAAATCAGAGGTGAACCACGATGCTCGCGTCTGCCGCGCTTGGCGTTCCAAACTCAAGTGGGCAGATGGAAAATCAGTTGGCACACAGCCTCGCGCTTTCCACGAAGAATGCGCGCCAGCCGGCTCAGCTCAGGATTAATGAAGCAGTCTTTCTCACGCCGAATCTGAACAATGACCGAACCGCTGCGAATTCACTTCTATCCAGCTGTGCAACTGTAGCAAAGGAACTTCATTTTTCCGAGCTGGCCTGAGACAGTATGCATGCAAAGTCTGTGACAACATTTGTTGTCGTGGCAGCCGTGCTGGCAGGGCCCGTGGGTAGGTACCAGCCGCTGTCGTACAAGTGGCACCAGACGAAGGCTACTCGGGCGAACCCGGTCAACACAAGTATGCCTTGCTTTCACGTTGCGCTGATGAAAGCTTATCCTTATCAGGCAATGCAGAATAATGCAGACCGACAAGCGGAGACTACGGACAACCTCTTTGGCCTAAGGTTGCCCATTAGGAGGCAATCAGTTGCAGATACGGGAAAGGCCTACTATGCTTGTTAGCAGCTGTTAGCATAATTTTGTGACACCTTACAATGTCTTTCAATGTCTTTCACCTGTGACATGGTGTGCTCTCAATGAAGGAGAGGCCGTGGTGAAGCAGCGAAGCATCTCACCTGCAAAGTCGCATGAAGTCACTTGTCAATGGGTTTCAACTTCGGCCATCTTGCAAGCCTGCTACCGAAGAGCATCGGCAATTGAGTCGCTGGCGCTTTCTTTTTGGCACTTCTTTTGACACGACTGTACGGTGAGATGGTGTCATCAAAGATGTATCTGAGCAGCGTGCCGAACCTCGCACGCGGCATCGGGTCTCTTGTTAACGCGCAAGAACATGGGAGCAGCTTGGCCGAAGCACATGGCAGGCCAGTCTCCAGATATTGTTTCTGAGAAGGCAACCAAGAATTGCATCTGGGTAAATCGTCGTAAAATTCTGGGGCCATGTCTCGTACCTGAGCCCATGGTTCAAAGTTATATACGGCTATACTGTTGTTAGAGCCGCTGAAGACGCAACCAACAAAGGGGCACCAAGCAGGGATCAAGACACAAAGCACCAAGCACTCCAAAACTCAACAGCAACAACATTTCAGCGCTGCGAATTTCGCCATCAGTTACAGTCCTTTGACAACTGGCATGAGCCCATGTGCCCTGCCGCTTGATCTTAAGACTTTTACTGGTAGCAAGCTGGGCAATAGATGACTTTTCAGACTGATTTGTATATATGACTGACCAAGCTGGACGACTTCCATTGGAAAGTGAATTCCGACACGTCTCGATTGTTGGCGTCGGCAGGAAAATGTGCGCAAAGTGCTCACGAGGTTTCAGTGCTGTTGTGGCCAACCAGCCTTCTCCCATCTGTTTTCCCTTCGGCTGGCTGTCCAGCGCGGCCTGTGGAGGGTAGCTTGCACAATCTGTTGCTAAGTAACCTTGCGTTTTGGGCTTGCGCTTTTGCCTTGTTTTCTTGCAAGAACACTGAATTGATTTTGCACGAACATTTTGCAACGCATCCTTTGCCTTGAAGTTAAAGAACCAACTTCGCATGCATCTGTGCCTTGCATGCATTCCTTGCCAACAGCTTGGGAATTATCAACGGAGGTGCGAAAAGCCCCACTGACAGTACTAACTCGTAAGGGTTTTTGCGCGCTCGTTTCACGAATCCATTAAATAGTACTGAAGCCAGTCCAAAAGCCCTTGATGTTACGTGGTTGAGATGGGCCCTTGGGCGTCTACTAATCCTGAATAGCGGATCACGGCGCAGCAATGGGCTTGGCTCACAAATTTTCCGGACTCAAGGAGCCTGCGGACGGTTGATGCAAAATGCATGTTTGTGCACAAGCTTTCGAATGTGCCAAGTTCAGAGATTTGGGTTTTTCATGGTTTTTCATCGCAGCCTCGGGGTTCATGACTTCGCAAAAAAATCGTGGGCTCTTAGTATTGATTGTATTGCCTGCGGCCCTTCATAAGCTCCTCATTTTAGCCTAAATTTGAGAAGGGTTTTTGGTCGTGAACTTGAAAAAGGAAAACTGTGGGACGAAGTCTTGCCCGTTTTACCTACCAGACTCTGGCACACACGAGGCCTTGCTTGTTCACCCTCTATGACACAAACTGGAGGAAACCTTCACAAGGGGGTGAGGCCAGCAGCGGCCAGCAGTCGAAGTGGACCCTTTGGTGAGCGCTTGCGCTGGCAACTCCAACGTCATGCCAAGACTTCGCCTCAAGCCTGAGGGTGTCACATAGACGTTCATCGATGGCCTGTACAGACTTTGCAAAAATTAGTGCTTCACTATGTTTCATGCTATAAGATGCCAGTCCGAGTGAAATCGCCCAACCGTAAATGAGGCTCCCTTTGATGCTCGGGTCCTGAATCAAATTCGACAGGATGCCCCCGCGCTTCATTTGGCTAAATTCTGCAGATGAATCCTGTTCAGCCTGTGTTCACCTAACCAAAAGGTTGAAGCAAAAATCAGATAGATCAGAGCACACTGACAGGCCACTTATCGGTTGAAGCTTTGTCGAGTTCTGAGTCACTACCTGTAGATGGTGCAGTGCATGCATCTCGTTCAGAAGTTCATAGATTGCCAGGCGCTCTCGTGAAGAAAGCGCGAAAGCAAACTCTTTCCAAAAGATGCTTTAGCCGTTCCAGTCGCTACAGTCCCTCCACATCTCTCCACATAATGGCAGTACTGGATAACTCCGGAGGCTTGGTGGAGGCGCCTTTGGGAGGTTGCCCCACGCCACGTTCGGGAAGTCGTGGTGCTCGTTGTGGTAGCCAACCTGCAATTGCGGCGACAGCCCTAAGGCACACTTCAAAACCACCCAAGGACCTGTCCACCGAGGGCAGCGCATTGTAAGTCAACAGGTTCAAGGGCCCGTAGTAGGAATACGTCTCCGTGAAACCTGTCAGCTCATGTCGTGCTTGACCTACTTTGCAAACCGTCTAAGGTGCCACTATGACAACAAATGCTCTTCTGACAAGGGGAATACCATCCATCACGTAGTGCTCGGCAATGAAATGGCCGGCTGTCGGATGAATCCTCAATACATCTGAAAAGGACCACGTACTGCGGAGTATCCAAGGATCTACCATGAGATGCAGTTGCTTGCAATATTGTTGCACCCCGGCTCTGCGAGCGCCTAGGAACTATCTAGCCTTCTGATAGTACCTGACCGTGTTCAATTTTTTGTTCAGCATTGGGGAGGCACAGAGAACTGAGGAAAGGCTTTACATGGCAAGAGTCCAGGTGTAGGGCCATATCGTTGTCTCCTCGTGTTTGTGCGAGGCTTTCGCAGGACCTCTAAGAATTTCCAAGACTCCTCTCGTCTGTCAGCAAGCTTTAAAGCGTCCCTGAGCATTCCTAGAGGAGGGGGCTCCCTTAAGCAGTTGCAGCTTGTGGCCATGGGCTGCTGGCCCTGCTACAAGGCAACGCAATGCATACGATGGTGCTCGTGCAGGGTCGCTTCATGGGTTTCGTGTCAAAGCGCATCAACAAACGCGCACCGAACATAAATAATACAGCTGGTCTGGTTCCAGCCTGGCCCTTGGGTGCTGGGGAAAGCCCTGGACCATGCAGGGACCACAAAGGGATCATTGAGATGCAGCCTGCACCCGGGTGGCCCCTCACTGCAACGCGTGAACAATCTACGCTGTCTATGCCATCTATGCTGTGCCCCCTTTGATAAAGAGTCGCTGCTGATGCTAGTGATTGGTGGTGGCCCTCGCTCCTGATCCGTTGAGGTCTCGGGCCGAAGGTATAGGTTGTCAAAACCTGCCCCACCTGCCACCCCCCCCCCCCCCCCCCCCCCCCCCCCTGCCCCCCGCCCTCCCTCTGGCCCCCCCTCCCGCCGCCCCGACCCAGGGTTTGGCAAACCCCAAACCGTGAACCTTGAGCCCTAAGCCCTCAACCCTTAACTAACCCTGAACCCTAAACCCCAAACCATAAACCATTGTTAATAAACCATAAACCCGGAACCCTAAACCCTAAACCCAACCCTTATTGCTTGGGGTCCAGCGACTTGGGCGCTGCGGAATCACCATGCTCACGCGGATGCGCTGGGCCGGGCCGAGGCGGGTCGCGTAGCGTTAAAATTAGAACCCTCTGCTGGAATGGCTTCTTGGTTTCGTCGTGGTTCCAATGTACTACAGCCATCCTGTCGGTACAAGGCAATTGTAAGGCTCCGGCGATCCGGCAAGGAAAGAGGATCCTAGAAACCAGACCATGACCTTGGTCTCTGCACTCGGATGCTCGGAAGACGCCCAGGGCCCATGAAGCAAAGCACAAATATGCGAAAATGCTCGGATCCTTGCCTACACTTATGCCGCACATCGCCCAGTATTATGTTTTGGGATGTTCGGGATCGAGCCTTCGGACCGAACAGGTACACCATCAAGCCGTCGAACCTTGAAAGGGGTACCAGACGACAACATCGGCAGCATGCACATGACCACTCTCAGACTGCGCACCACGTGCAATATGCACGAATGGCTTCTTCAGGAAAGTGAGGGGCACGCGAAAACTGCACGATGTAATTTACAATCATCCAAGCCTTGGATAATCGGCAACATGTATTGAAGGCGCAGCAAAGCCAGTCTGCCAAACACAGGCCCTAAGTGCGCATCGTCGGCTGCAACAAGAGATGGCTTTACGAAGGTCGGTCGAAGCCTCTGCCACTTGCTGTGCTTGATGTCAGTAGATAGCTGCTGATGGATGCTGCCACACTTTGCCACATTCTGCCGTTGTACTGTGTGCAGCACGCATAGAAGAAGATCTGCAAGAACATGAACACAGCCTGCTGGGACTGATTCGGCTGGTTCAGCTACGGCCTCTCTGGACTTTTCGATCTTTTTGCATTGCGCGACTTGTCTTGCACATGATGAACGAAGGCACTTGGCTTTTGAGAACTTTTCGTCAAGCCCGTCAGTTCTCTGAGTCGACATGTAAACACCTTCGCTCACTCTCTCTCACACACACATTTTGTGCCTGGCCTTGCGGCAGGTGCGGTCCAGGTAGCAGGTAGAGGTGTCGGTCAAAAACCACCTTGGCTTTGCAAGTCTGAGCACGTAGACTGGCTGCAGTAGACTCGAGTCTAAAAAATATTGTTAGAGACCACGTACATTTTGTCCACACACCAAGACGCCCTTCCAAGCGGGTTGGGACGTCTGTGTCCACTCCGTCCTGGCCCTGGTATCGGTGGTGCCTGGCAGAGAACGATGATACACTTTATAGATATCTAGCATCTTTTGATGAATGTTTTGTGGCTGCCACAAAAAAACTTCGCACCATGATTCAGTACGCTGTAACTGTATGAGCGTTCGATACGATTATTGAGATGACAGGAATTTATTCACGGAAAACAGGTCAGCAGCTCTCCATGTGATACCTCAAAGCTTGGGTCTGACTACGAAGGCTTTGTCACCTTTGATCACCTTTGTAGTGCTGTGCTGAACCGTTCCAGGCAAAAGCCGAGGCCGCCACGGCTTGAAGTTGATGGCGTATGGGATGGCCTAGACATCTGTCATCATCTGTCAGTCAAGGCTAAGAACATGAACCTATTCTAACGGTTTCTAACGGTTTCTAACGTTGCAACTTCATGGGGGAAACATGGGGTTCCTCATGTTGCAACGTGCTCAGCACTGAGCATGCAAACGTGGAACGTCCAAGTTCAAGCTGTGTTGTGCGAGCTGGCTTTGAAGGTTGCTTGATGTTATGGAGGTGTGGGTACACACCAAACGGCGCTGCTCGGCTTCGAACGCTGGATTCATCGAGGAATTTCTCCGCTTGCGCATCACATCCCTTCAATGATTCAGATTCTGATGAATCAAGGCAAGCTAATGTAAAGTAAGAGCGGACTATCTTGATGCAGGAATGTTTGACGTTTTGGCAAGCCGCGATTTCAGGCGCATTTTTCTGTATACCGATTTCGCACTCCTCCTGTTTGCTAACACTAGCATGTGCGTACACTCATGACCTCATGCCGTTTGCTTTTCTTCTTTGCTTTTGGGTTGAATATTTCCGTGGAGATTTGACGGCCATGCTGTACCACCCCTTTTCGGTTTTCAAGCTTTCCCGCATGCAGCAGAAGGGTTCATGGTCAATCGGGATTCCGCCGTGATGGCTGATGGTATGATGAGACGTCATTGTGTTTGCGACCACAAGCGGCGCTCACGTTCGAGCCTGCTTCGAGCCGAATGAACGACCATTAGATGGCAACACACACACATGCACTTTTCCGAGGGCAAGTGTCTAATGCTCCTTCTGGTGTCGAAAACCCTTTTCACCACAGGGCAACTGTGAGTGATTGTGAGTGATACTGAGGGTACGGCTATTGGCAAGTTGGCCAAAAGCGATATAAGCTTGTTCCCCCAAGTCCTTGGGCACGTCATGATGAAGATCGAGTGGTAGGTCTCACGTCCACAGTCTGAGCTAGAGCACGTGGTAGCCCCGAGGTTGTGAGCCTCAGCACATTAAGCAGCTCACAAACATTCGGTACCCAATTGTTACAACTAGGGTAAACGTTGAGTTCGCTGTCACAACTGTTGCCGAAGAACCAACTCGTGGATTGCAAGGAAGAGGGAGTGGTTCGCTGTCGCACCGACCACCTCAACAATTCCATGCAGATGCCTGTTGACCTCCTGACAAACGACGGGGCCCACAGGGGCAGCATCTGCGATCGGCACGTAAAGTGCCAGAAGCAATGAGGGAAGCCTCCACTCAAGTGTCAGCCTTAGTCAGTCTTAACCTCCAAAAGAATCTGCGTCTCCATGGCTACCGCCGACCGTCCAAGAACTTCAGAGGCTCCGACCACGCCATAAAGATCTGAAAGAGCACCTGGACGAGATGCTTGGAGTCCAGCCCAGACTTGCAGAGCAAGATGAGCAAGGAACACAAATACTCAGCAAAGCTTCAGCAACCTTTTCCAACAGCGACTGGTCAAGCAGTCTCTCATTAATCAGGCAATCGCCTTTTTGTGGACAGTCTTGAAGACGTGCGAAAATCATAAGTCACCGAAAATTGAAAGGTGGGGTGTGGTCCAAGTATGCTGCATTCCTCTGCGCCCTTCGTTAGGTTCGGCGATGTCGCCGCATAGTCTGCATCATGGTCGTCATGGGACATCACCGGAGCGATCCAAAGAACGAAGAGATGGGATCCTGGCCAGGCTTCAGGCTGAGCATTCAGTGAGACTCTGAAGTTGAAGAGCCGAGGAATGTCAAAGAGGATAGATTCTGCTAGCTGCCATGTGGTTTCCTGAATCTCAGGTTCAACGTGAATGGACCGAAGGACTCTCGAGAAGTGCCCTTAACTGAAGTGCCCAACCGGACGGGAGCGACACAATCAGCAAAACGGTGGGGCCTCTGTAGCGAGCGATAATGTGCAGCTCCCCCCCCCCCCCCCCCACCTCTTTGAAAGGGGTTACGGTGTGTGACGGTCCACCCTTGCTGATCTGGATGGCCCCCCGTCGAAACTCCCAGGCCGTCTAGGCTTGAGACTTGAAGGGCTGGTGGTCATGTTGAGCACCATCACTGGTCACTCGTTGCTGCTTATTCAGTACTGTAGCCAGCCGAGACTCTAAAACCTCTTGGTAGGATGCTAGTTTAATTTGGCTTGGGGTTCAGGTTCGAGGGTTGAGTGTTTAGGAGTGCACATGGCTTGCAGACTGATAACTTGTCCCAACACTTTCACCGCTCGCTCTCGCACAGGCGGGCTCAAGGTTTAGTTTCGGGTTTCAGTCGAAGGTTTGGGGTTCGGCTTCCTGCAAAACATGCTTCACCCTGACTTATGATGGCTTTGACACGCTCAAGCAAGGTACACGACGTTCAAGACTGTTTGGAGTCAACGTTCTTGTGCCAATGCATCAGCATCATCACGAGAGCCCCCTGATGGCGAGACACAATTATGCTTCATGTCCTGGCTGGGAAGAGCACCTGCAGCCCGTAACTTGGTCATGAGCTCACCTGATTCGTAAAGTGGAACCAGGCCAGGTCCTGCACAAAGCTGCCGGCTTGACAGCAAATTACAGGTCGCGTCGGGTCGCATTGCCAAATTCGCAAATATCAGAGGTCACGTCGGGACGTTTGCTCTGCTTTGCTGAGGGAGGTGGGAAGGAGGGAAGGAGGGGGCGGGAGGGAGGAGGGAGGCAGGGAAGGCAGGTTGGGAGGTAGGGAGGTAGGGAGGTAGGGAGGTAGGGAGGTAGGGAGGTAGGGAGGTAGGGAGGTAGGGAGGTAGGGAGGTAGGGAGGTAGGGAGGTAGGGAGGTGGGGAGGCAGGGAGGCGGGGAGGTGGAGGGAGGTGGAGGGAGGTGGAGGGAGGTGGAGGGAGGTGGAGGCAGGTGGAGGGAGGTAGGGAGGTAGGGAGGTGGAGGGAGGTGGAGGGAGGTGGAGGGAGGTAGGGAGGTGGAGGGAGAGGGTAGGGGAGGGAGAGGGGAGGGGGAGGGGGATGGAGGGGAGGGAGGGGCGGGAGGGGAGGGAGGGGAGGGAGGCGAGGGAGGGGGAGGGGAGGGAGCGAGGACGAAGAGAGTGTGAGAGCGAGAGAGACCAATTCAAGGACCGGATAACCCCCACATGCAAAGTTATCTATTCGCAAAGACTGTATAAGTGAATGTGAGTGAGAGGGTGAGAGAGTGAGCGAGTTAGCGAGCGAGTGCTGAGTGTGAGTGAGTGCGTAAGTGAGTGATTGCGTGAGTCTGAGTGAATGAGAGAGTGAGTGTGAGTTGTGTTCTTCGGCCGCTGTTGTAGTAGCGCGCAGGTGTGGGATTCAGGGCGACAGCTTCGGGCTTGAGAGCATTGAAGAGTTTCGGGTTCGTTTGTCACACCGGCAAGCGGATTTTCAGCGAGATCTTTTGCACTTGTCACGGCAGAGATCCACCGTGTCGTGAGCGAGATGGGGAGACCTGTCACGGTACACTTATCGCAGGCAAAAAGGGAAGTTTGAAGCCGAGTCTGAGTCTCATCTACAAGGCGCCGGCCGCCGGTCCAGGACCCCGACACGCTGCGCCTGCCAGCACAAGGGACACCTGGGTCGCGCCTGAGAAATGTTGCAATGTGCAATGAGTGTTCTCTCATCACTCTGTAATCCTGGCGCGGTACGCAAGCTTGATGGGTGCAGGATGCAAAAGTGTTAGTGGCAAATCGCAGCTTCTTTCGCTTCTCCACACGAGTCGGAGATTGACCACTGGCACCCGTGCTACAATATTATTGTAGCACGGATGCCAGTGGTCAGCTTCGTCTGGGTACACAAACGACACCTGTGTCGTGCCTGCCAATGTTCCACGAAGGCGCGCGCGGCACCGGTCCAGGGCCCCTAAATGCTGCCACAAACGACACCTGTGTCGCGCCTGCCAACGTTTCACAGGTCCAGGGCCCCTAAATGTCGCGCCTGCCAACGTTCCCGAAGGTGCGCGTGGCACCCGTCCCAGGCCCCTAAATTAAGGGGAAAACACATCAGGATGGCCGAAGAGCAGGATGGCCGGCAAACTTCGACGAAGACTCGGGACACCAACGGGCCGAGGCGAAGTTCGACGAAGGCCGGGGGGCCGGGCGAAGGTTCGACGAAGGCCGAGAGGTTCGACGAAGGGGGAGGGGGTTTGACGAAGGCCGATACAAAAGGCCAAGACAAAGCCCGAAAAAAAACGCGAGGGTTCGACGAAGGCTAAATGAAGGCCGGAGGTTCGACGAAGGCCACAAGGGCCGGGAGGGGGGTTCGACGAAGGCCAAGGGTTTCGACGAAGGCTAGGGGGGTTCGACGGCCTTTGCCGAAGGCTGTGTGCCATCCGCCCCCATACGCCGTCCTGATCGGTTTGCCCCTGATAAATGCTGCGCCTGCCAGCACAAACGACACCTGTGTCGCGCCTGCCAACGTTCCCGAAGGCAGGCGCGCGGCACCCGTCCAGGGCCCCTAAATGTTGCACCTGCCAGCACAAACGACACCTGTGTCGCGCCTGCCAACGTTTCGCGCGGCCCCGAGGTGCGCGAGTTACCGGTCCAGGCCCCTAAATGCTGCGCCTGCCAGCACAAACGACACCTGTGTCGCGCCTGGCGTGGTAAGATGGCGCATTGTGAATGGTGTGAGTCATGGTGTCTGTGTCAGTCATGGTGTCTGGCGCGTTGGTGCATAGCGTGGTAACATGGTGTGTGGTGCGTTGGCGAGTCATGTGGTGCGTTGGTGAGTCATGGTCAGTCATGGTGTCTGTGTGGTGTGTGGTGTGGTCAGTCATGGTGTGTGTATGGTGTGTGGTGCGTTGGCGAGTCATGGTCAGTCATGGTGTGTGTGTGTGTGTCAGTCAGTCAGGTGTGGTGCAGTCATGGTCGGTCATGGTGTGGGTGTCAGTCAGGTGTGGTGCGTTGGCGAGTCATGGTCAGTCAGGAGGAGGGAGGAGGAGGAGGGAGGAGGAGGAGGAGGGAGGAGGAGGGAGGAGGAGGAGGAGGGAGGAGGCGGGACAGCCCAAAAAGTAAGAACCCCACACAAAGATGTGGGGAAAAACAAGAAGAAGAAAGAATGAACGAAAATAATGATGAAACAAAGAAAGGAAGAGAGGCGGAGAGAGAGAGAGAGAGAGCGAGAGCGAAAGAGATGGATAGAGAGAAAAAACAAAAAACGACGGAAAAACATAAATCACAAAACAGACGGCTCTTACGAAGGCCTCAAAACCCTGCATCCTTGCCGCCCTAAAGGAGGAAAGAAGGGGCAGATTCATTGAACTAGTGCGTTTGTGGGCTCCCCCAAAGCTCCCCTTTACTTCATCAGGAGATGAAGGGCTTCAAGGCCCTCCGACTTTCTAGAACCCCTTGGGGGCCTGGGCTCAAAACCTTTCTGTCTCTGATCTCACGGTCCTTGGCTCGAATCCTCCCATCTGCGGCGGATTGGTTCCCTTCAACCCTACAGGAGAAAAGAAGCTTCACTGAAGAAGGGCGTTTTTAAGCGGTGTGTCTGCTTGCAGCCCTCAAGGAGGAGAACAAGACCGACTTCATTGAAGTAGGGAGGTTTTGGGGGCAGTGCCTTAAACCGAGAGGAGAGAGCACGAAGTTTGTTCGTGATGGCCATTGAAGTAAGGCGTTCTTGACGCAGCAATTGAGGGAATATCTACTCATCCCTCTCTCTGGCCCCACACGAATTAAGGTCAGGTCTGACTTGTTTTCAGGGGACGTCGCGATCGATAATCCCACTGTTTTCGGTTGACCTCGCGTGACCTCGCCATACATTGCCCACTGCGTTAGCAACAACTGTACCAAAGACATGTCCTTCCATCAAGCCGCCAATGCTCTCACCGCCGACAAAGATATGCGGCATACTCGTTCCTTAGTGATGCAACCGACTCTGAAGTGCATCTCTTACTCACCCTTGCTGCGTTGCTGCGTTGCAACTTTGGCGGGCGAGCCTCGACCATACATGGCCCCCAGCTCTGCACGCTTGGCAGCGCTCTCCCCAACCATCAGGAACCACTCTGGAGCCAGCTGGACTTCTTTGTACTGGGCCCCAACTGAGTCTAGGAGCTTTGTTGCCTCTGTACAGAACGGGGACAGACCATAGCTGTAGACCACGACAGGGGCAGACTTTACTTCTTCCTGAATCTTGGCGCGTATTTCTGCCTCGTCATAGATTAGTGCCTGAAGCCTGGCTTCAGCAGCGAAAATGGGCTTCAGCAAGCCCATGCCAAGACTAGCAACTTTGAGCGGCGCTAGCAGTGGTGAAGCCGCAGCATCCGCAGCTGCGACCACTGCCGTCTCTTCGGATCCTGCTTGACGTGCAGTTTGCTGACGAGGTAGCCTGGTGAGCTTCTGTGGAGCACTTGAAGCAAACGCAGAGCTTGGCAACAGAGCTCCCACGTAGAAAGCCGCGATGGCAGCAAAAATGCAGACAAGTCTGAGTGACTTGGGTGCTCTCGGCAAATTTGCCATGGCTCAGACGAGTATAACGATATGATATTATGAGAATGATGTATTCCGTAATAACACTTTCTGTGCCAAACGCATCTGTGCTGCATGCAGGTTACCAAGTGCTTCAAGACAAGAGCGACACGCCCTGTAGTCCAAAGGAATCTTTTCTCTGAGAACGACGCAGTCGCTGCCACGATGTACTTGGTTCGCCATTCAGGCCCCATCAAACCTGCTTTGCATCCATTATATATGTATACTATATGTACACATGCGTACATATATGCATATGTGCATCTGTATATTTGTAAAAATATACGTATGTATGCATGTGCCAGCATACCGGCCCATGGGCCGACGTCCTGAGCTTTTGGCTTTTGATCTCCGGATGCTGCTTTAGAATCTCGGCCCTGGCACTTCAGAAGCTGAGCCAGAGCCAGGACCCACATTCGAAGCTAAATGAGGACATGAAGCAAACACAAATAAACACAACTTGTGACACAGCATACAAAGCTTTTCAGTAAGGCGCGACCTTCTGGTTACATGGGGCTCGTCGGTGGTGCTGAAGATGTAATCCCTCGCAGTGAGGGCAAATGAAGAACTGCAAGGAGCAGCGCAGTTGCAAAGCCCAGTTGCAAAGTGCTCAGGCAAAGTGCAAAGACTGCAAAGACTGCAAAGACATGGAGCAAGACATGCACAGGTGCTCAAGGTGCTCAAAAGGTGCTCAAAAGGTGCTCAAAAGGTGCTCAAGATGGTCCTCCGTGGTCCCCGTGACTCTTCCATGTGCCTCCCAGAGCCGAAGCTTCAGTTTTCGGTGCTTTCAGCACTTTCAAGACTTTCAGGTCATTCAAACTTTCAGTGTCCAGGCTGTGCTCTAATACTTTACATTTAATGTACTAAATTTGTGTATGCTATACTCTCTTTATTGATTCAACGTTGCTATTGAATGCGTCACACATCGCCACACACTCCATGTCAATTTCCAAGTGCGTCACCCAAGCCTCTGAGGAGTTCAAGGCTCAAGGATGCGCTTAGGGTTTAGGGCTTCTCAGGGCAACCTGGAGTTGAGCCGAAACGCGAAACGGCAGTGTGATATCTCGAATTTGAGACATGCTGCGAATTGCTGCGATGTAGCGTGACATGATGTGGCATGATGCGACATATGGCGACATGCTACCGTGTTGGGAAGCCGAGTGCGGTGCGGTCTAGTAGCCAAAGCCAAAGCTGCGGGCTTTGGCTGTGATGGCTGTGATGGCTGTGAGCTCGTTGCCGCGGCTTCTTTGGCCGTTGGCTTATCCTGCTTTGGCTTCTCCGGTTCTTTGGCATCCTCGATGTGCACAAAGGATGCACTTTAGGATTTGCAGAAGTTTGCTGTGGCTTTTCCGTTCTGTGTCAGTCAATAAACTCCAGCAATAAACTATTCAAATCAAGGCGAGGCGCCTGCACCAACGAAGTTCTGGCATTAGTGATGCCCTCCTGCTTCAAAGCTCGTTGAACAGCGGCGGCATTCCAAAAAGCAGCGCATGGAGAGCTTTTGACAACCTCTTGCCTTGCCAAGAACCTCGACGGCCTAGGTTCAGCGAATCTTGGCGACCACCAGGTGACAGAACTCGGCTCTACAATCGCGCTAGGCACATCTAGGCACATAAGGCACTGGCTGGCCGTAGTTGGACCATCTGATGGCCGTCTGCTCGAACAGACACCTGACAAATTCCGAAAGAAAAGCTCCCAGGAAAATTGTCGCCAAGCGCTCTGGAGTGTGCTCGCGTGTATGCATTGGTAGACTGTGGTGGTCAGAATGAAGCTATCCGCCGACCTTCCCCAGGCAACGCTAGTGAAGGCTTTGGCTTGGAATTTCGTTGTCTGCAGACGCTCCCGGTGGCCAAGTACTTGCACATACTTGGACTGTACCACATCAATGGCTGCTCCACGCTTCCCACCCTAACCCGCATAACCCGCCATCCATGCTCAATTGATCTCAATTCTTCGAAAGGATTTTCTCACGGGTCTCAGTGTCTGCCCCGCGCTGCTTTCTCAGCCCTCCTCCAGAGTCCATGCCGTGGGATTCACTCGCACCACCTTCCTCACGGCTCCCACACTCGTTGTCCTATGCAATTGGCAAGTATAGGCTAACTCCCCGCCATCCCCCATACCTGCCAGGTTCGGTGTGGCTACACGTGAGACTGGGGGTTACGAAAGCCAGACAAACGCCGGACAGCGAAGCAATCAATGCATTTTCGAGGGATGAATGAGCCCCCTGAAAATTCTTGACTTGAAGCAAGCCTAGACTAAGCCTAGACACCCTTATAAGTCCTAGACCCCAAGCCCAATTAAGCCCAAGCCCAACCCTGTCAGTGTGCACGTGGGTCGTCGGATAGGGAGCTTGGATTTTCAGGGTCCAATGAACGATGGCATCTGACAAACCCAAAGAAGCCTGCAAGGGGGGCGGGGGAGGGGGGCCTCAAGGGAGGGAAACGTGCGCATGTAAAGCTGCTAGAGGCAAGACAGAGAGTACTTTGCAATGGTGTGTGCGGTTGGGCGTGACTTTGTGATGGTGCTACTTTTCGAGGGCCACCTATGTTTTGCGCTCTGTGGCTCGATCTGCATCAAATCAGAGGACCAGCTCGTCGTGCCACGGGAACCAAGTCGAAGCACGGATCTCACAAAAGAACTGTCAGCTTTCATTTAGCTCCCTGAAAATTTTTGACTTGAAGCAAGCCTAGACACCCTAAGTCCTAGACCCCAAGCCCAAGCCCAACCCTGCGAAGCAGAAGGTTGCAAGCATGTCCCCATATCTGCTCATGCACCCTGGATCGATGAAAAGCCGAAGCCTGGGTCAGCGGATAGGGAGCTTGGATTTTCAGAGCCCAATGAACGATTAAGAAGCCTGCAAGGTGGGGGGGGGCCCCTCGCAGCCCTTTAACTTATTGATTTTCTCGCAAGCTCCAAGGAGCTAGCTTTCGTGATAATGGGACTCTACAACGTTTCATGATTTAATGTTTAAAGTTTAAAGGGCTCTTCCTCCCCATGCCCTCCCCTAAGCTTGGATAAATGGTTCCCCTTCCCAGCCCGCATACCCTACGCCAATCCGCCATTACTCCACTGTTGCTTGCGCCTGCGTGGGACCGGGCAATCACATCTCTCACACCCTGCGACTCTACAATGTCTACAATGTTCTCGAAAGATTTCAGTTATAAGGGTTCCACAGTGGTTGCTCCACCGGACCGCTCCTACCCGCATTGTGGCTGCAACGCACCAATGGGACTCCAGCGCCCATTCATAGCCCACGGTGGTAAGACATGGAAAGGTATGGTAAGGTAAAACCCGAAGCCCTAAACCTCGATACCTTCCTTCAAACACGGTGAGAGGTAAAAAACAAACGGCGACTTATTCTCGACTGACATGTCGGCCTTTCGGGCGGTTCCCGGCCCCGGGTGCGGCCGCTGGTGCTCTGAGGTGGGCTCTGTACCCGGAAAATAAACTCATCAAGGAGAGCTTCCGGCGCCCTTTCCAAAACATGTTGAAATCGCCCCGCCGACCCAAGGTCAGAGTGCTCATGATGCTCTGTCGGGTCCCGCGCCCGGACCCCAAAAAGCCAGCCTGCGCTGGAGGATAGCTGCAAACAGTCCCAGCATTTTTGCTTACGCAAGCCCTGCACTGGGTTCGTGCCCGGCTTGGGGCCACGACGCTGCCACCAGATATCCCCGACGGTAGCGCTGCTGACCCGGCTATGCTAGCATTTGGGGGGTCCTGGCGCGAGACCCGCCTACCTCCTGCCCCATTCCAAAATGCCAGCAAGCCCCTGATGATGCTCATGGCGCTCGCCCCATCTTATGATGCTTGCGGGCTCATGTGGTTTTCGGGTTTAGCCCCCGGGCTGCTGGTGCCAAAGGCAGCCCCTGGAATACTGAACAATATAGGCAGCTGGTGAAGCAATGTGAAGCAGCTGCAAGGCCTTCACCGTCTTCATTCTGCTCAGTGCCTTCCAAAACTGAAGCTTGGCTGAAGCTTGACTGAAGTGGCTGCTGTGACTTCGCCATGGCTCTCAGAACTTCGGCACCTGCTGCAAGGCCGGTCGGCCAAACTGCAGTCCTTGAGAACGAGAAATGCAGGATGCAGTTGTGATGGACGAAGGATGATGTTTTTGTGGCAACAAACACATTGGCACTCAAAACAAACTCCATTGCGTCCAGGCAGCTTGCGACTGCCTCAGAGCACACGTCTGTCACGACGGCGCAAGCGTGAGGGAATGTTGCCCTCTTACACTCCCCCCCACCTCTGTCATTGCAAAGCCCAATTCGCGAGCACAATTTGATAACTTGAAGGAAATTACACATATTAGATATTGCACAAAGGAGTTGGCTCTGCTTTTGACTTGCAATGCAAGCTCTGTATAACCAGGTCCAGACTTTTCGAACGATGGAGCAGCAAGGGGGGGAGGGGATTTCAAAAAGTGAAATTAGTCGATCTGTAAAAAGAAACGACCGGTTTTGCTGATTTTTTTGTGACAGAATATGACGAGGTTTATTCACTTCTTGCCGATTGCGCAGCGGAAGGATGCTCAGTTCGACTTTAGGATTCGCCAGCTTGTTTTGGCTCCGTAGATTTTGCAGGCATCCGCGAGAGAGGTGCCACTGGCGGGCAGAAGGGATTTTGTTTTTATTGCCTTCCTGGCAGCACGGGGTAAACATCTTGGAGGAACTAAGCAACTACAGAGTACACCTTGGTGATCTTTGAACACTTGCACTGCAAGGACCTTGCCACGGTGCCTTCTAATTTGGGTCTGAAGAAAGAACCTCCTCGTCGCGCATCAGAGAAAGTACCAGCATTCCAGCCTCTTTCAAGCCGAACCTAGTCTTGCGAACCCTAATCTGATTCGAAAAGCTCAAAGTCGCAGCAGCTTACTTAGCTCAGGCAAACAGAGGGCGGCCTGCATAAGTTATGGAGTTCAGCAGGACTATCCTACACGCCTAATTGACTCGATGCTGGCCATGTTGCAGGAACCTGCTGTAGATCTTCCAGGC